AACCCAAATTCACAGTATGGTGAACTCATTGAAAAGTACATTAAAGATGGAAGGATTGTGCCAGTTGAAATAACCATCAGTCTGTTAAAGAGGGTAAGGAGTATGAATGCCAACCAATTTAAACCAGCAAGAAAATAAGAAATTAAATCTACCTTTTTTTTTAAGTGATGAAAAAAATCAGGGTATTGAATTTCTTGCTTGTAGAAAATGGCCATGTATTTGACTTACTTTCACCTGGGAAGAAGTTGGGTAGTAGCAGGCATTCTCTGCCTTCATCTCGGATCAGCTACAGTCTAGTGGGTGACAAATACTACAGCTACAGCTCCACTTGACCCCTCCCAACATTCACACAGAGGTTCTGACAGCCACTGTTTTTGAGGAACTAGGAAACAGTTTGAACACCAAGAGAGCTGGATATCGGTTTCTTTTCATTTCTATTTCTTCTTCTTTTTCTCTTTCTCCTCCTCCTTTCCCTTTTCTGTTTTCTTATAAATTTCCTTTCCTTCCCTCCCCATCCCCCCTTCCCTTTTTCCCTCTCTCCTGTGACCTTTCCATTGTTGCTATTCCCTCAGTCTTGATATCTTCTTTTCTGGTACCTGCATCACCATCTTCATTGTGAAATGCTAAGACTAACAGCTATCAAATTAAAATATGTCCCATCTTAAAAACAGATACCTTGCATTTTCATGATAACTCTCTACTATAGATTCCCAAGACTGTAGTCATTAATAGGTATTTTCACATGTAAGAAAGAGTGAAGGAGAAATGCAACAGTGGAAACAGCAAGAAATAGTTGAAGATTGATGTGAGCATCTGGATGGAATCGGAGAAGCTTGAGGATGAGGAGTAGCTCATCACACACATTCTTGTCTCTTGTCTCAGAGATTGGAGTAACCTGCTTTCATTTCAAAGTAAATAAATCCTCTTTCCTTATTCTCTGGTTATAATGCCCTTCCTCCACCTTAGAGCTAAACATTGCGAAAGACTAGTCTACAATTTTTACGTTTTCACTTTCTACTCTTCATCCCTTTGCAGTCAGTTTCTATTGAAAACTGTTGAAACTAGTCATCTTCATCGAAACTGTTCTTGCTGATGTTCTTGCTTCTCTATCAAATCTGGGGGATATTTTTAGTCATTTTTCTTATAGAGTTTAATTCTCCTTACTGTCTTTTTGAAACTCATTCCTTTGGTTTCTGTGACACCGTTTCTTTTTTTGATTCTTTTCCCACTTCAGTAACTGCTATTTCTTAATGTCTCCTTTGATAGTTCTTCTGCAAGTTTCTTAAACCATATGCTTCTCGGGGTTTCATCCTTGGTTCTCCCCTCATTTTATTTATTTCTTGCTGGATGGTTTTAGCCATACCCAAGGCTTTCACTGCGCTATTGATGCCGAAATCCAAAGCTGTAGCACAAATCATTTTTCTGAACTCCAGACCTATATTTCTAACAAACTACTAGGCATCCGTCTGAATGTCTAACAGGTATCTCAAAATCAACATGTCACAGACTGAATGTATCATATAAAATGTGATCACCTCTATATCCTGTCCCCGTTAATGTTTCTACCATCTACCCAGCTGCCCAAGCCAGAAGTCTGGGTGCCCTCCTATATTTTTCACTTCTCCTTCTATTTCTAAATTCCATTCAGTGAGCAAATCCTTCCATTTATCTTCCTCTTAATTCTCTACTATTAGTCTTTTTTTTCTATTACCATTATCACCTTAGTTCAGATCCTCTTTTCTTCTTGACCATCACTAGAGCCTCCTCATTAGTCTTTTTTGCCTTAAACGTCCTTTTCCCCTTCTAATTCATCCTTCATGGTGCAGGGTGATTGTTTTCTAAAAGGTGATGTGAGCGTATTCTTCTGCTTAAAATCCCTCAGTGCTTCCAGAATAAAAACCAAATCTTTAGGGTAGCATAACAAGTTCTTCATTAATCTTTCCCCTACATACTTTCTATGTCATGGCTCCCACCGCTTTCTACACACATCCTAAGATTCAGCTGTACCAACTTACTTCAGATTCATCAAAGCTGTCATGCTTTCTCATTTCTGAGCCTTTATTCATTTAGTTTATACCGTCTGAAGTACTATTTCTGCTCTGCTGCCACCTCTTAGGTAAAGCTTTCTCTGAGTTTCCCGGTACTTTGTGCTTGCTTCTTCGTTTTATCCTAGCATCCTAGAACTTAGCATATTTACTTACGTATTTGTCACCCACTAGACTGTGAGCTTCCCAGGGGCCGTGACCTTGCTCCTCATGTTCCGTCAAGTAGGCCTCAAATAAATGTGTGTTGAGTAAGTAGAATATTTGTGTACCTCTTAATATATCTTTCACTACCGTAATTGGGGTAAAAATGCTATAGCAGAGGCCTAATAGTGTTCTGTGGAAGTTTTGTGAATATGAAGAAGCAAGATGCTGGGATAAAGACAGCCCTCAGAAATGAATCAGGGGTTCTGACAGCCATTGTTCTTGAGCTAGGAAACAGTTTGAACATGGAGGGGACTGGATATCGGTTTCCCTTGAAATAGAAGCTCCTCTGGCGTTTGTCAGAGTAATGCGTCTGTGCTTATGCCATCGTCGTTGGTAGTGGGTAAGGATTTGGAAATTAGAGAGCTTATCTCCTATTCACGTATTCCCACACTCTACTTAAATTCAGACTTCCATAGAGGATGGTGAAATGTGTTTCTCTTACTAACTTTCTGAATGTGTTTCCTTTGCTGCCTGTGTTTTAGAGTAGCCAGTGACATTTAGGTTTAATTAGCTTCAGTTAAAAAGAAAAATGATTCCTACACTAATAATTAATGCTAGCAATATCTTTATATTTGTCCAAAACTTTTTGCAATTAGACTTGAATTATTGCAGAGAATCTGAGTACCTATAGTAGTATACTTCCTACCACAGCAAAATGACTTGGGAAGAAGGAAGAGAAGGCAAGATAGGGTCTCTACTGACTAGAGCAAAGATATTGGTTAATGTTTATTTTTTCTTTTTTTACTGGTTATAACTTTGTGAATGTATATGTGAAAGTAATTTGTGCTTACAGAGAATTCAGAAATTACAGAAAAAAATTGTGAGTGTATGTATATAAAATGGGGTAAGGGTACATACCCATATTTCCACTCAAGGCAATTATATTAATACTTTGGATCATTTCCTTAAAGTCTTTTTTTCTATGTATCCTTCACTCTTTACATATGATTTAAAGAATAATAATAAAACAGACACCAATATATCCACCACGCAGCTTAAAAAATTGCATTTTGTTAATGTAGTGTTGACCCTAAATCTTCCTTTTCCTTTAGGAAATGGATCAGACAATGGCTGCCAATGCTCAGAAGAATAAATTCTTGATTGATGGGTTTCCAAGAAATCAAGACAACCTTCAAGGTTGGAACAAGACCATGGATGGGAAGGCAGATGTAGCTTTTGTTCTGTTTTTCGATTGTAATAATGAGGTAAGAAAGAAACGATGGTCAACTGTTAGAGAAATAAAAAGTGATTTTTTAAATTATATTTACATTTTATATTGGCAGCAGTACTTTTTTGAATTGGGACACTGGGTGGTCAGAACACCACTGTCTTGCTGTTGGAATGTTAAACACTATTTGACATCAACCTCGTGGACTTAAAATTAGCGTTATTTTCAAAATAACAAGAATTTGTTTCATTTTTCTTTGTTTTTAAGTAAGAATTGACTTGTCCAATGTTAGGTAATATTACTTAGTATGCACTATTATCAGAGAGTGTCTTGCCTTAGGATGGTTGTTTATTTGGAAAGGAAACACATTTCTGGGAAGTTGGGGAAACTTTTGGTTTTAAGGGAACATACAAGGCAGCCTGATTTGTCTTCTCAGAGTAAGATGATCTTGGAAAAAAGCAGGAAAGAGTTCTTTTTCTTTCTGGCATTTCTAGTAACATACTCAGACATGCCTTTGAATAACTAGATGAATTTCTCAGAATTATTTAATTGAAAGTCCTGACTGACACCTGTAAACTTTATTAAGTGAATGCCAACAGCCTGAAAGAATAAAAATCTGTAGTACTGCCTTGAAGGAAGTTGGTTCTTCTTAGGTTGAATTGCAGATGTGCCTCTGGTGGAGGGACTTGCTGCAGGCTTTGAGTTGTTTTAAAATGTAACTCTTTTTCCAACCCCCAAAAATATGTTTTCACTTATTCTTCAAAGTTAACTTTAGAATGTTACCACAGCTTTATAACTAAGGAATGTTTATTCACGATTAACAAGGGATAGTTTATTCAAATGCAAATATGTTGATTCTTAAATATTTAGGTATTTATGGAATTATTGAAAAGTAAGCAAAAATAGAACAAAGTTTGAGGCATGTAATTCATACCTAATAAGTTAATAATATATCCTAGATGGAACCCTACACATACAGATCTTCTTTTTATTGCGGTTTGAAAAAAAAAAATGCACAGGAAAAACTGAGTCATGAATGAATTCTTATTATACTCTGTACTTATTTAGCCTAGTTTATATAAATTGAACCACATGTTTAAATTTAAATGGACTTTGCATGTTGATTAATGAATTAGACACATTGGGTTTAATGCAGCGTTTTGTTTTTTTTTTTTAAACTTCAAACATTTTCTTTTCAGGTTAAAAGAATGACAAATTCATATCTTTTTTTAAAAAATAATTTTTCATTTATTTCTCTTTTTAGATCTGTGTTGAACGATGTCTTGAGAGGGGAAAGAGCAGTGGTAGGAGTGATGACAACAGAGAGAGCTTAGAAAAGAGGTACTGTGCAGTTTTTACACATTGCTATCTCAATCTCAGTTTGGAATTTGAGTAGCAGATTAAATACTTGTCTCATTTTGGTCAGGAAAGAAAAAAAATGTCATGCTTAAATATGTAAAATGGCTTGTGTAAGAAGGTGATAAAGGAGTCAGTTGGGTCACATCTGGTATGGTCCTCTGAGCTGTCCTATAACATGGGGGAGAATGGACGGATACTTAGAACCTTGCAATATTTGCTTCTTTGGCAGAATTCAAACATATCTTCAGTCAACAAAGCCAATTATTGACTTATATGAAGAAATGGGGAAAGTCAAGAAAATAGATGCTTCTAAATCTGTTGATGAAGTGAGTATCCCTAGCCTGCCTTAAAAATAAAAAAGTCAAGTAAAAATGTGATTTGGATAAGGGGCACAGGTTAGGAGAAATACTATGACAGATTAGTTTGCTTTTCAAGACACTAGAAACTAAATGAAAAATTAAGCCTTTTCTCTTTCTTCTTCTTTTTTTTTTTTTTGAATAGAGTTTAAAATGGGTTTTACAACTTCAAACTTGTTCTTCATAAGAAGTGGGTGGTTTATTAATTCCAAACCTCTTTTCTCAAACACTGGGAAATTGGCATTTTGAGAACTGTAATTCGGACCATAATCATTTTTTAACAATCCATAATGTGAGTAGCAAGTCATCTAGCGCAGGAGCCCCAGGCTGTCTTCATCTCTTCCATCACAGAGCACATAGCTCCAGAGGTGCAGAGTTTCCATGATTCAACACTGCTCTCTTCCTTCATGAATCAGCGGTCTCGAAACTGATTTGCAAGTGCTCGCTTTGTTAGGACATATACTAAAAAAAAAATGTGTTAGCAAGGCCTCAATGCCCAGCAGCTATTTCTAGTGCCTCTTAACTCACCTAAATCTTCTTTCTCTGGACTTTTCTATTTTATTGTATAGTTATTTTTAGTTTTGATCCATTGCCACTTTCTGTAGCGGTGAGGTAATACATCCCAAACTTAAGTGTTTTAGAATAAGATCTAGGAAAATAAGCCACTTTAGTTTACATTTTATAAAATTATTGGTAGCCAAGTAGTTTTGTTTTATCCTAAAAACAATAAAATTGCATGTGTTCATAACTTTATCTGTATTACTTATGATATTACCTTCTAAAGTAAAATTGCATGTGTTCATAACTTTATATGTATTACTTACGATGTTACCTTCTAAAGTAAAAAGAAATCATGTTTTTAATGGTCCATTTTGAAAATTAATATAATATTGATATATTTTTAAGCCATATGGTGTTTTAATAATATCTGCTTTTAAAATTATTATTATCTTTTTCCTTTACAGGTTTTTGATGAAGTTGTGAAGATTTTTGACAAAGAAGGCTAACTCTAAACCTGAAAGCATCTTTGAAATCATGCTTGAATATTGCTTTGATATAGCTGCTGTCACAATCTCTTTTTAAGGCAATTTTAATGTTTCATAATTACATCACAATTAATGGCTAGAAAGTATGTAGTAAGACAAATTAAAGTTTTTATCAGTTTTTTTTGGGGGGGGTCATAGGAATAGAGAGTGAATTCGGGTCTAACTTTATCTTAGCCATGGTGCTCACAAAACAAAGAAGGGTATTAGCTAGTTCTTGTTTTTATTCAAAAAAGATATCCCTTTTATAGTTTGTGCCTTCTGTGAGCAAAATTTTTTAGTATATATGTATCTCCCTTTAGTAATTACAACATGTTGGGATTAAGGATTCCTCATTTCCTCTTTTTCTTGCAGGTTTTAAATTTCCAACCTGTTAAGTGAATTTGTGGACCAAATTTCAAAGGAACTTTTTGTGTAGTCAGTTCTTGCACAATGTGTTCGGTAAACAAACTCATAAAATGAATTCCTAGAAGTGTTTTAGTATTTATCAAATAACTGACTATTTTCTATAGGATGGTAAGAAAAGTTAGGCTTTGTTTTACTACAGCTTGTACAAAGTTGTGTGACAGGGCATAGTCTTTGCTTCCAGGGATCGGGATGGGGGCACTGGGGGTTCAGAGCCTGGCAGAATTGTCAACCTTATTCTAACACAAATCTGAGGATAAGGGGCAAGGATCACATTTAATAACGTGTTCCTCATGCTCTATTAGTGTTATTAATAATTAAACTGATCTTAACAAAATTCCTAGCAGTGGAACCTTAACATGCATGTACTAGGTTTATGGTAAAATGGTTTTTTGGTTTGTTTGTTTTCTTGATTAAATATAAGGTTAGTATAATGTCGAAGGAATCTAATGGTTAAATTTCTCATTTGTATTTTATTTTCTTGAATACTTTTTTTTCATAGTTATTTGTTTAAGAAGATTTAAAAATCATTGCACTTTGGTCAGAAAAATAATAAATATATCTTATAAATGTTTGATTTCCTTCCTGGCTACTTTTATTCAGTAAATTCTTTTTCTTTCTCTCTTTCTCTCTTTCTCTTTCTCTTTCTTTCTCTCTCTCTCTCTCTCTCTCTCTCTCTCTCTCTCTCTCTCTCTCTCTCTCTCTCTTTCTTTCTTTCTTTCTTTTTTTTGTACCAAAAAAAATCTTTCTTTCTTTCTTTCTTCCTTCCTTCCTTCCTTCCTTCCTTCCTTCCTTCCTTCCTTCCTCCCTTCCTTCCTTCCTTCCTTCCTCCTTTCCTTTCCTTTCCTTTCCTTTCCTTTTTTCTTTTTTTCTTTTCTTTCTTTTTTTTCTTTGTTTCTTTTCTTTCTTTCACATCATATTGAAGCATGGAAAGGTACAGAATAAAAAAAGGTTATCGAGTCCAAAATAATTTTTTCTTAAATCTATTCTTCCTTTAAAAATCTGAGAAATTTGTTTTTTCCTTTCTTTCTTTTTTCTGCCATCATTAATACAAAATGGTATCCTAGGTTCCTATTATGAGATTTGTTAAAATATTTCTCATCTTCAGTATTTATACTGTTTGGTATACAGGGTTAAATCAAGCAAGGAATTTTGGCTTTGTATAATTAGATTTTATATTTAAAGTCATTGGGAATAGTGAGGACAACCTATGGATGTCTTATATTGTAATAGATTTATTTCTATGCGTGTTATGAAATTCACTTATTAATGACAAATTTTCAAAATATTCGCCATTAGAAAACAAAGTATCCATAAGTACTGTAACATATTAGCCACTAAAATTTGTATTGACATTATCTTGGTTTCTTAGAAGAGATTGTAATAAATTCTTATCTAGTGATTCAGTCCAGCCAATAGAGATTTTAGTGGTAATTTAATCAAACAGCTTTAGTATGAAGCAAGAATAAAGACTTAAGATTTTAAGCTCATTCCTACTTATAAGTGAAGAAATCTATCTATCAGATGGGGATCTAAATATTTATATTGCTATTGTGAAAGCAACCGTGAGGTTTGTAAGAAGACTGCTGAGATAAGGTACTTTGCTTCTTTTTATCAAATATCTTCTTGTGGCATTTGAAAACAAAACCAAGAAACATAGTAATTACCAAATTATGAAGCTTTGCTTTTTGTTTACTTTTTAAGTAGAAAAACATGTTGGAAATATTGAGTTTAGGAGTTAATTGAGATACATCTGACTTCACTAGCTTGGTCATTCCATTTGTTAAAGATGGAGTCAACCAAGAAGTTTTTGACTTTCTCGAAAGACCCCAGTGGAAGTCTTGGGATTTTTAAAAAAATTAACTGCATTATATTCATTCAGTGATGTTGGATATATATGAGTTATTTAGTAAATAATCCCAATAAACTTTGTGCTGTGGCTTTTGCTGTTTGCTGGTTCAGATTTCTGTTCCCTCAAGCTTATTGAAGATCAAGAAGTATCATATTTAACATGTGGGTCCTCACATAGCAAAAGCAGAGTTCAGAATCCAGGAGAATTTTCTGTTCTGTGTATTCTGTTCGTGTGTCTTGAATTAAGCAGAAAGCATGACTTTATCCCATTCCTTCAAGAAGTAATCTGGATCAAGGCACAAGTAGCCTATTTCATTACCAGCCTGCAGCATCAATTCCTTGTCTCTTTGAGGGGGAACTTGGCAGCAGGCAGTGTATCTCAGGATGCAGGGTTTTTTTTTGTGGGTTTGTGGCTTTGTCCATGTAATTTAAGTGGTTGCCTGACATTCCAGTGGTCTCTGGAGATAATAGTGGCTAGAAGTATTAGCCAGGCTGGATCAGCATCCTTTCCCTGGATGTTTGGTTCTTCATCTTCAAACACATATGAATTGCACAAGCCATAGTGCTACAGACACCTTCTCTGCCTTCCAAGAGTTTTCTATCTAAAACTAAAACTCTGATGTGGATAGACCTTCAGATGTCTTCTGTTGGATCACTTCAATCATTCTTGTATAGCCTACTGCACTTCTCCTTAGTCTACCTGCATGCCTCAACTAAATTAAATACTCCTTTATTCTAAACATTTTTTTTTTAATGAAAGGAAGCTCATTTATTGTGTACCAATAATCAATCATTCTTGTATAGCCTACTGTACTTCTCCTTAGTCTACCTGCATGCCTCAACTAAATTAAATACTCCTTTATTCTAAACATTTTTTTTTTAATGAAAGGAAGCTCATTTATTGTGTACCAAAAGAAAAAGGTAAAAATGATTCTAATCACCTATCCCTGTGATACGTACATAATCTGACTAAGTGTACGCACTCTCGTGGATCCAGGTCTGCTTTCCCTTGAATGGGTGTGGTTATCGTTATTGTGACATATTTAATTCTGGTCCTCAGTTAAGATCTGCATGTCACCATCTTTCCTATCCTGGGGAGAGCCAAAGGATTAAGTGGAATTTCTGGCTACCTCCTTATACCCCATGTCAGCCATACCGACTACAGGCTCTCACCAGGGCTCAGACTTGAATGGGATCCCTGCTGTCTTCATTCATTTGACCATAACCTACTTCTCTTGGGTCCCTCTTCTTCAAAGAGACTTTTCTTTCATGACCTTGTCCTTCTAAGACCCTGACATAAGACAAGAGGGCTTAATTATTTTGTATTATTTGCAGAGTAACAAATCAACGTTTTTCGGGGGAGGTTCTTTCAACCACAGAAAATTGTTTTCTATTTATGATGCATTTTGTAGTAACTATGCAACTTCCTAACACTGGCCTTTGACACCCTAACCAACCAGAGGAAAAGCATCTGCAGAGGTAGTACTACATTCCACCGTAATGGTAGATAATCCAGGCAAACCTTAATTAAGAACTGTCTTAATTAATGGAATCAAGCAGTTAAGCAACATACCATATAAGTAGCAGATGTATTCTCATTTGGTTGAGTAACCACACTTAGAAAGTAAAATTCAAATAAAGCCGAGTACGTGAGCTTCGGGATGCTCATATGCTATCCTATAGAGGCTTCCTGGAAGAAATATACTCTCAGTAGCTGCTTCTATAAAATTATAGGGAAAAATTGATACAGTGGACCCAAGATGGATTTCCAAGAAAACCCTTGAGTTGATTAAGTTTCCCTTGCGAGTTGGTAAACTCCTGCAGTCCTTTGAGGACTCTGAGTAGAACTGGTCCTCTCACAGGCACCTGGCTCCAGAGCTAGCAAGAAAAAGTATTGACTTAGTTTAGCAGTTAGTACGTAGAAGCACAAAGCTGTTGTGCATGGCTTACTCTAGGTTGTTCATTAGTTTTATAGAATAAGTCCTCACTTAAGTGAAATGATGTATAACGAAACCAGTTTTACCATAAGCTAATTGACATAAATGAGAAGTCTCTACAACATCCCATCAATGCTAACGATGTTGAACAAAATGTTATTTGAATAGCTGGTGTATAGAAGCATATTTCTACAAGTGGCTCCAAAGCAGCTTCAAGAACTTGGCCAGAGATCTATGATCTTGACAAGGCTGTATCAAAATGGCCTTGTTAAAATGTACACCTTTTTTCTTTTTAATTACCAGGTAATGTGCATGATAGGCACCACCATTATTTTATCCTCAACTGGGATAGTGGTCAAGATGGGCACATTATTTACATTATTTGGTGGAGACAGGTGGGAGGTGGGCGAGGGAGAATGCTAAAGTTTAATGACTAACTTTAAGATTGGGTCACAATATTCCCATGTCAAGATGACCAAGTTAAAACAGCTGCATCAAAATCTCTCTGGCGTCAAGTGCTATGTCAGAATGCCTGTGTCATATCCAGTATCCAGCATGATCGAGCAAAGACTATCTGTATTTCTTCCTCTATTAAGGGCCTTTATTTCTG